AGAGCTCAGGATGGATCCGTACTGACCAGGAGAACATTTTGTAATTTCTCAATCTGAACTTCATCCAGTCATGCTGGATTTTCTCCTGAGATTCCTACGCTTCAAGTGCTGATTTAAAACAATGGATTTCCATGCCAACATGGTTAAACTGAAGCAGTCTAGGACATATCCTTTCTCTTCAACTGCCACCATTTTGAAATGAGGAATTTGTCAATCGCGTCCTCAAATGCTGTTCTTTTTTCTTGTTTCAAACGCATACAACTGTCTGGATTACTAACAGCATATTCTTTTGCAGAGGTAGTTTTTAATTCTGTCACTTTCAGAGACGGATTTCCCTGATTGATCTGCCATGAAGCATCTCTAAATTATGCATCTTGGAAGAAAAACTTGGAATAACCCAAAGATCAACCTAGTTGATGAGATGTATCAAGCAGCCTCCACTTTGATCCTTCCTGGCAGTTGTCGGGGATATGTCTCCTGTAGACATGGAGATTCCATTGATCTTATAGTAACGTTTGGCTGATTGCCTTCTTAATCCCTAACAGATCAGAGCATAGGTTTTTCTAACCAAAGATTCAGCTGCTTCACATAGGATGTTTGGAAGCCCTCAAAGTAATCCTTCTGAACTGTTGTCTGCAAGGAACCAACTTTCAGTTAGCCTCCTGCTTCTGAACTTGGATCTCCCTTATATCAGTCTCTGCCGATAGCCACAGAAAGCACCCTCTCTATGAATTTGCTTAAATCTCTCTGGAAGCCATTCTGCACCCAGTCTTGGCAGAATGAAATGCTTGGTTGAGATGGTAGACATCCACGGTTTCTTGTTTTCCTCTTTCATGCAACCAACTCTCTGTACGCTGTTAGCTGGGCATTTATAAGAGGGGTTCAGAAGAACCGTCTGTGTTTGGTACGGTGGATTGGTATGGACAGAGCATATGAATTACTTGGGCTTTGGAATCGTGTGCAACCGTGTCCCCACCCTGATGGGCTCTGGATTTGAGTGTGAGGTTAGTCAGCCCCTCATAGAATCCCCAAGTGAGCCCCTTCCTCAACCTGGAGCCTTCTAAATGTGTTGGGATCAA